TCCTTCAACCATGTCCATGGCCGCATACCGCAGGCCTTGAGTCTTGCAGATGAAAACAGTTGTTGACCGATCGCATCGTGCATCGGTGTAGTTAGCCCCTAGGTTTCTTTGACCGTGTTCGTAGTTGGTTGAGCTGCCCCGCATCTCCGTTTCCACTGTCGTTGTTTGACAGTGGTAGCGGAGCTCTGCGGAGGTTCAGCGGTCGCAATGGATCCTTGGCTTGGACCTGGTTCAGATCCGTGGGAGGAGTGCAATCCCCATTGGATCGACTACTGTTGGAGCAGGTGGTTTGGGTACATATGCTACGCAGCAAGGCCCTTGTTTTCCATCCTCGACCTCCTCGGTGCAAGGACCTGGTTTTGGCCTCGGAACTCCGTCGCAGCCGCCGCAGTCGCTGGGTACTGGAACTAGTGTCCATGGCAACCCGCAGGGTACTGCGGGTGATAGACAGGCACCTCCATTTCAGAGCTTCCCAAGACCTTACATGAGCCCAATGTTTTCCAGCAGTCCGTTGAATCAACAATGGATGCAACAACAACAGCAGCAGCCTTGTGGACAGACTTCTCAAGGAACTACATTGGCTTGGCAGTGGAAGCAATGCAGGGTTAGCTGAAAACCTGCTACGACAGCTCGATTCATCCGGCAATCCATCCACACAGCAACGACCTGTCGGCAGTGCTTTCGAGTTGTTTGGAAGGCCCATATTGCCCCAAGGACCCTCCTCTCCGACCAGTCCGGTTCAGCAGAGCGAGTTGATGCTTAAGGCACTCACTGCTGCCCTCAGTGGAGAGCGCAAGGGCCTGCCACAATGGACTGGCGGAGTTGAGCATGGCTTCGGCAGCTTGCGTATTGGGAGTTGGACAATCACCTTCCCAAGAGCCGATGGGGAAGCAAGTTGTTGCAATCATTAATCATTCCCTGAAGGTAGTGCCGGTAGTGCTCCAAGGAAGATTGCAGAGACAGTTGATTTAGCAACAGTTTTGTCGGACACTGGATATGGCACCATCTTGTCTGAGATCATCAACAAATATGGTCCCTACCTTGAAGCAATTGGCCCTGCAGCAGTTGACCATTTCTTTTACGGGGTGTCGCGTGCTCGGGATGAGAATTTTAGCGCTTACATCGCTCCAAAGGAGATCCTGGAAGCCCAGATTGGAGAACGTGTCCGTCCAAAGATCGCTGGAAGTGCGCGTGTTGCTTCGAGGCGCCAATTTGACAGAACAGCAAAGGGAAAACCTTGCCATTCGATACAATGCATTGCTCACCTTCGACCAGATAGCTAGAGCACTTCGACCATTGGATAGACCTGAAGCATTGGTTCTCAGGCGATGGCCTCAGCGGGGCGATTTGGCGATCAGCAGGACGTCCGGTCACCCAAGAGCAAGAGTGGTCATTGTTCACCTGTGCAGTTGTCATTGGATCAGTCATGGGAGCAGTTGCAGCGCACTTCAAAGCAATGTTCGAAGCATGCACGTTTTTCAGATTTGATCAAGCCCGCAGGGTGTGCTTGCAACAAGCGCACCCCACGGGAACGATCAAATCAAGTTTTGTCTTCGCCTTCACGTGGTCAGCCTACTCAGCGTGTTTCTCCAGTGCACCTTGCTGCTCAAGCAACGTCACCGATTGTGCACCATCCTCCTCATGAGCGAGCAGTTCAAGAACAAGATTTCCCAATGGATGGTCAAAAGGGAAAAGGAGGAGTTCGAGCAGAAGTTAAAGGTGAAGATCGAGGAGAAGGTGAAAACTCACCACCCCTCTCCGGAACGCCGCATCGGCCACTGGAAGCGGCTACTCCACTGGTCATCGACTTCCGGCGAGGAGTCAGGGATGCTATCGACGTCATTGGAGGCGCCGTCGCCACTGCCATGCTCCCTTTGGTCTTGAGGATGGACTGTTCTTCACTGCACGGCTCGGGGTGTGGTTTGGAGTCAACACCCGAGTGTTCCGACCCTCCTTCAACTCCAAGGCTCCCACATCGGGGCGATAGCGAGGTCCGGGCAGCACTGATGGGTAGGCCACTGAATTGCTGGCGCGGTCACAACACTGTCTGGGGCGTGGTGCTGTTGCTCGAGCTTGCCATCGTGCTGGAAGATGATGCTCCTTGCTCGTTGAGCGGCGCGTCTGCTGCAGCTTCCAACCGAGCCCGTCGACTGCCACATCCTAGACAGGTCCACCAAAATTGACCTCGTCCTGCTCGATGGCGCATGTGGCTGCGTGGCTCTCCTCGTGAGGCCGCAGGTTCACTGCCAGCTTTGCAGGCGGTCGACCGAGTCAAAGGGCGGCCGATGCCACGTCTGATCTTCTGCTTCTCTGCTTGCGCCGCCTTCTCGGCATCTAGCTTCTTGCGAGCCTTCTGCGTCTGCTCTTCCTGCTTGCGGATCTCGAGGAGCGAGGTTCGAGCGCCGAGCCAGTTCGCTGCAAACTCGAGGTTGGCCTGATCCATCAGCTTGATGATCATAAGGAGTCCGGCCAACCCAGGAGAGATAGCAACTCGGGTATGTCCTAAACCCGTATGACAAGTGTGTGCTGACGCTTCCTTCAGGCTCCACTCACCCAAAGGCAAAGACTGAAGGCTTCATGACTATTGAGGTCGACGATATTGTCAAGGGTGGTGGAGAGAAGCGCCAAGGTTTGACGAAAAAGATGGAAAGCATCTTGAAGTTCGGAAAGATTGATGAGCTCTATGGTGCTGAGGGTTCCAACTATGCTGGAAGATTCATCAGGCAACTTCCTGACTACAGCTTCAGCATCAACATGGAAGAGTTCATTTATACCCGGCTGGAACCCATCAAACTCAGCCGGAAGGTGCTCAAGAAAGACGCGGCAGCAGTGGACTTGTCCCCCAGCGAACAAACACAGCTGAGAGGGCTCGTTGCATCGCTAAACTGGCTGTCGCGTGAGTCCAGACCTGACCTTTCAGCAGGTGCTTCGATCATCGCTTTGTCCTTTCCAACTCCAAAGGTGAGCCGCCTGATGGCAGCGAATGACCTGGTGCGTCATGGCAACATGCATCCGGTGGAGCTCAAGATCCATGCCATCGAGGAGGAGCGCCTCCGACACTTCCTCGTGGCGGATGCCGCCTTTGACACTTCGGGCAAAGAGCGCTCGCAGTTTGGCTTCCTCCTGGGCTTCACGACCCCAGAGCTGAACTTGGGCAAGAAGGCCCCCAATGAGCTTGATGCAGTGGCGTTCACGCCCCTTGAGGCGTCGCGTCCTCCTTGCTGTGTGAGGCGATCAGCATGTCAGCTGCCACGGGATCGCTAGAGAGGCAGTGCCTTCATGGAATCGGTGAGATTCTCAAACTTCTCACCGAGGTCCAAGCAGCGGTCAGAAGATGAGGTGTTGGAGAAGTTTGGAAAGACACATGTGATTGCGTCAGAAGCTGCCGCCTGTAGAGATCCTGATGGGGTCACCATCATGGACGCCAAAGCCCTGTATGACTCGATCAACAATGATCAGGCAGCAGCTGGAGAAGACGAAAGGTCAGCCTTAGAAGTGGCCATCATCAAGGAAAGCTTGATTTGCACTGCAGCCGGCCAAGGTGGATTCCCCATAATGTGAATCCAGCTAATAGCTAATGCTTTGACCAAGCTGGATGGAGCACACACCCTGCCATTGCTCCAAATGCTGTCAGACTGCACCTTCCAGATCGAGCAGGAGACAGACGTTCTCAGGCGTGGTAGGCAATCGGAAAGCCGGTGAAGTCAAGACTGGTTGAAGGAACCACTTCTTTTGGGGGCTGTGAAGCTTTGAAACAACCAAGACTGTGATGTCATGCCCTTCCTTCAACCATGTCTATGGCCGCATACCGCAGGCCTTGAGTCTCGCAGATGAAAACAGTTGTTGACCGATCGCATCGTGCATCGGTGTAGTTAGCCCCTAGGTTTCTTTGACCGTGTTCGTAGTTGGTTGAGCTGCCCCGCATCTCCGTTTCCACTGTCGTTGTTTGACACCCTGATGAGCCCTCCACTTGTGTCCAATCTGCGTTCAATGGAGGAAATAATTGAACCCACGGTCATCACGACTTCAATGCCATCGCATAGTGCCTTCTTATCCAAGGTAAATAGACCCAAGCTTTGCATAGTTTCAAAAAGGTTTTCATTGACCAATGAACTCATACAACTGTTTCCTCATAAGTAACTACCATTGTCCTCATGCTGAAGGCAAGACCAAAATGCCCATCATTGGTCATCTCTTCTGCTGAGTGCACCATGGCTCGATACATCACTAAACCAATAGCTTGGGCCTAAATATGCTCCATCAATAGCAAATTACGCACAATGAGCGCCAACCCATGGTGCACCCGGCAGGTTCCCAAACTGATTTCCACCATGCATTCCACCACTGATTGCCCACTAAAGGATGAATACATCCCACAAACACCATGCTAGTTGCTTCACCCACCCGATTCCCCAATCCATCAACAATGGCGCCAATTTTATCAAGCCAATGCCTCATCATCTCACCATCTGCGATTCCATACTGGAATGCCCATACTATTTATTGTACTCATCTCTAATCTTTTGATCCCTCTCCCATTGGGAATCATATGCCATAAGGTCATACCAATCCTCCACAGGCCACCAATCATCAGACCATCCAGTCCATGGATCCACCCTCACCAGAAATAGCCTCCACCTCCCATTCCTCATCCTCCATTCTCTGATATGCTGATCAATCCTAGCTAATCTCTTATCAAACTTGTGCCAATACACTCAGAGCTCTCATGGTTCTCATGGTTCAACCTCTCATGACAGAATCCCATCAACCATCATCCATCATCAGGTCCAGGTCCTCATCTCATCATCCATCATCATGAGGTGATCATCTTTATTAAGGGGATGTGGCCCTCCAATGCCTCCAATCTTAGACCTTGTTGACCTTGTTGACCTTGAAGGGGTGTGGTCACCGTTTATTAATCCCACGTTGCCATTACTGGTCTCATTGCGACTTCTTTTCATCAGAAGCCTCGTGTTGCGGTCATCAAAGTTTCTCGCCAGGAATCATAAATTCTTCTTCCTGTTGTTGCTCTACTCAGCGTCAGCATGCAATTTCATTACAATCACAATGATACCGCTGGGTCCTCAGGTCGTTCTACCTCTTTTCTTTGGCATGGTAGAGCGTTTCTTCAATGCTGGCGCTGTCCAGACAAAGATTAGATTCGTGCCGCAGCCCCCAGGACTGTGGAGAGCGCAGTGCAGCAGAATTCTGCCTTTGCCCAGATGCACACAGCCCAGCCAGCCTAGTTTGCATCACAGTCTCATCCAAAGGAATGAATTTTATAAAGCATGCTTCTTTCAAACTGGACATAGTTTGTTTGTTTGAGTAAATGCTAGTGCCAGCAACTGCTTTGCTCAGGTTTTTGGTTCTGTTCGCGGAGACGCTCTCCGCTTTTTTGGGTATCCTGAAGCTTTGTGCAAATAGTATCACATTCGGTCAAGTTCTCTTGTATTCAACTCGAAAATCAAGCGATTCAGTGTTTGTGCTTGTGCCTGTTCACATCAACCAAGGATTACATTTTTCTTCTTCTTCCATATATGGCTGACTTTTCAGGCTTAGTTGTCCTGTTTGTTGAGATGAGTTTGCAGGTGAACACCTTAGCAACCAATTCCATTGGCCAAACTGGTGGCATGGAATTCGTTTCATACCTATTTAGCAGCCTTACTAACATCATCAGTATCGCAGAGCGTTAAATGTGTGCAAACAGCGCCGCATTTTCCAATGATCGTGTTTCAGAAAGGTGCTTCTAATGCTCCTTTGGTGTTGCAAGCGACTGGTATTGTTGGATGTTTCGGGGGTCCAACTTACCATGATAAGATCTTGCTGAAGTAACTCTTGTAGATTTCACTGTGGCAAAGAGAGTCAGATACCAACACGCCCAAGATGGTTTTTAGTCCTTCCCTGATGTGCTTTCCGTTCTACATGGTAGACCGTTTAAAGATGCATTGAAGATTGGTATTTGACGACAGGCCATGACTACGATTGAGTTCTGCGAAAAGAACACAAAAAATCAGAGCGAGCGCCCTCAGTCAGTACAACACTTCATCCAAAACATGACAGAATAAAGCAGACGTTGCCGAATCATGCACGATGGGAAAGGCTATGGCAGCTCTGTACATGACCGCGGCATCAATGGCAACGCTCCTTACCTTGCAAATGGTCCAGCTTTCTGCGCACGTGTGCAACATGTTTTGCTTTCTCTATTTTCTGTTCTGAAGATTGTTTGGGTCACATATGACTGCAAACAGAGTGAAAGTGACTGGATTTCTTCAGATTAGAGCTGTTCTTGGAGACTGGATTCTCCTCTGGCTGCTGTGGTGTTCTTAGCTTGCTGCAAGTTTTTTCTTGTTTTAACTTTGCAAATTGCACAATGTTCAGAGAATGAAGACATGGAGGGCCAGTCTCCAAGCTATCGGAGCTGAGCTTAGGCCAGTGTCGCCTCCCTCGGGCAACGGCACAAACTTTAATGCATCTCGGCCACAGTTGTAGTCTATTTGCATATGGCTTTTGGCATTATGTTTTGCATTGTGCAATTGTTTCTATCTTTTTGCGTTGGGAGATGTCTTATGATTATGATTTGTTAAGATGCGAAGATCAGCTTGACGGCATGTGTAGGACTTATATACATGTTATCATATAGCTGTTCGGATGCTTCCATAGGATTTTGTAGCTGGTTGCCCAGCAAGTTGTCAATCATTCACTATGTGATGCTGCAAGAAGCCTACATGAGGACTCCAAACACTCAGATCCCTCACTAGTTTATCGTCTCTTCCATTTCATAAATGGAAAAATAGGGAAAGACAAAGCCTGTTGAGTATAGCGACACTGAGCCCGCACATGGATAGCGGATAGCCTTGAATTCATCACCAACAACACCAGGTCAGATGGATCCACACTGCCACACGTCGCAAGAATCGCGATTTTCGTAATGTTATGACAAGAAACCCGCTTTGCATCAAAGTGCAATTCCTTTCTCCTTGTGCAAGGCACACTCTGTCTCAACACACCCTGAAGCTAGGAAGACATCAGGTTATGGGGACTGGTGAATGACCCTTGTCTTCTCCTTTGCAGCTCAACTTGTTGTGGACGGCTTGTGTAGGCACGCCTGTTCCATGTAAGGGCCTGCAAGAGTTGTTTGGCGCACAAAAAGCGCAGAGTGGGTCATGAATTGTTGGGAATTGGCCCTAGAAAGGTGTGATTTAACATGATTTAACAATATGCGTATGGCTATTGTTTGATGCAGCATGCTTCTCTGCAGCTTCATACAGCTTCTGATACCCTTCACAAGCTCTTTGACGATCGACCCAGAACTGTGACAGATGAGTTGGCGCACTAATGTCACAGACCCTGTTTGCGTGAAGACATGATCATGAAGTTGACACGCGCAAAGTAGAAGTGTACCGAAGACCTCTCAAGTCAGGAAAGGTCCGCGTGGTAAAAGTCACCCTTGAGCTCCAGCGGGCTGGAGGCCGCGACCCTGACCTCACATCGGGCTCCATGTGTTTTCTGCGGAGGAGATGGTTGGGTCAGTCGACGATACTGGCTGGAGTCGCAGGCTCTGATAGCCTCAGGTCAGGCTGCCAGACATGCAGCCCAAGCGGCCGCAGCCAGTCAGGGTGGAAGTGCCGAAGGAGGAGGAGGACGAGCAATCAAGAAGGACACCAGGGAAAGATGAAGGATGATGAAGAGGGGAGTAAAGGCAAGGGAGGAAAGCAGAAGTGTGAAGTGTAAAGGAGATCAGTCAAAAGGGGAAAGGAAAAAGGGTTGCCTTCAGAGTGGCAACGATTCAGTTGACCTTTGGGCCGGCCGCGTCGCAGCAGGAGCCGACCTGGCCTGCGTGGGAAGAGGAGCGCGCAGCGATGTTCTCCGGGCTTTGGAGCTTGTTCCGCCAGAAAAGACATCTGTGGCGTCGATGGGAGAGATTTGGAGGGCAGGCCGATTCGCAAACGAAGAGTGCAAGGCGTACAACAGAGCAGGGGGCAAAGATTCGGAGACGGGAAAGAACAAGACTGAGGGCGACAAAGGAACACGGACGGTCTCCTATCATTCTTCTTCTCGGAGATCTTGGTGCTGCGCCAACTGACTTCCCGGCCTTCGATGGTTCATCGCGAGGAAAATGGCTGGAAGCAACTAGCAGCAACGTGGAACTTTCATTTGACGCTGGCCGCGCGCATCTACCCGCTTGCCAACGCACAATGATGGGGAACCAGCTTCGGCGCGAAGAAGCTCCATCACGACTCAAGAAGCCTCGCAAGCGCGATGATCGCCGATGCCCGCCAGAGGTTGCTTGTTCAGGTGGGGGGACACCCTTCAAGCTACGGCGCCTCCTATAGCCAATATGCCAGAAAAGCGCTCACATCTGGCATGCAGGGGCCTGACCATCTACCGCCAGAACCGGCCCCAAACAGTTCTTCGTCGCCCTCGATCTGATTGCTTGCGCTGCTCATGCTGCTGTGGGATGAGGATGACGATCGGCGTTGGTTCCTGCCGCGTTCCGTATGTTTGTTTTCGCTTTCTTTCTCATTCGACGGCGAACTTCCGGATTGGGGCCCAGCCCTGTGTTGGAGAACACGGCGGACACATCCTCGTTCCGTCGATCTTGAGGCGGCGCTTCTTTCGTTTCTTCTTCTTCTTCTTCTTCTTGGATTTCTCTGCGTCTTTCTCGGCCTCTTTTCTTGGCTTTTTCCCTTCCCGTAACTCCCGTGTGACCAGGAAGGGAGCATCTCCTCCTCTTGTTTTCTCTCCTCTTTCTCTGGCAGCTCGGCCTGTCTTCTCAATCGGCCTAGCTCGTATTCTCCTCCTGCCTCTGGACGATGATCAACCAGGCACTTTCCGCACGGAATGTCCTCTAGCGCCGCCTCCTTGAGCTGATTCACGCGGACCAGATTCTCCTGCCTTCTTCTTGTTGTCAACCTCTGAACCTCATCCCCGTGGCAGGCGGTGTAGGAGGCGCGCGGGATGGCCGAATTGATGCGCCGAATTGATGAATTGATGCGCTTCCATTTGCCCTACCTCACCACAAATGTTGGCTCTACTCCTGTCTGCTCTCCATGCTTCGAATTTCATTTTCTTGGGCTTGTCCTCGCTGTCTTCCTCAGGAGTGGCGCCGGTGCTCACCTCAGGTGCAGTTGAGCTTCGGGCTCTGCGCCTGTATTTCAAGGCCCTGTACCTAGGCCTCCACCACCAGGAGCTTCTCTGCTCCCGTCCCAGTGATCATGCAAAACAACGTGTGCAGCAGGTTGACTGCAAGTATGAAACGGCTGTTCGGTCGGGAAGTTAACATGAGCGAGCGCGTTCATGTCACGAACCCGGTTTGCGCGCAAGACGTGATCATGAAGCTGGCGCGCAAATTAGAGGTGTACCGAAAACCTTTCGGCGCAAAAAAGACTCCGTAAGACAGCATTTACACCACGAAACTTTAGAGAAAGCACCATGCTTATATGGTTGATGGTAAAATCTCTCCACTTGGCACGACGGATGTTGGGGCCACCCAGCAGGTTCAATAAAATTGTTCTAAGGTGTGGATCGCTCTTCCGTTTGTAGGGTTTCAATTTTTTTCTGGGCATATTGTCCCTTGTTGTGGCCCAAGGAGCCAGAGGCAGATGCCTTGCTTGCGCGTGCCTTGGAGACTGACCGAGGCGCAAGTTGCACCGTCCAAGCTTTGCCGAATTTGAGGACTCAGTTCATTGAAAATTTGATTCTTGATAGAATTTGAAAACGCATGTTTACTAGAACCAAACCGTTGTGGAACGCTTGCATCAGGCCCGAGAAGGACACGTGGCAAGGTGCACTACAGGGGAGGGGACCAGGGCTTGGTGACAACTTCCGCCTCACACTTCGTTACGGATGTTTTGTTTTTCGTTAGCGCAAACACATTAATAAAGGTAGTGGCTACGGCGGTTTGCATTGTTTTTGCTACTTTGTTTCGCAGCTCGATGGTCGAAAAAGGCCGGATATGGTGCTGTGTCAAGCGGCAAGAGGCCTGGACTTAGAAACCAGTTTGGCCGGAAACGCGTCTTCCGCGGTTAAGAGAATCAAGACGGCCATTGAAACTGTTTGTTGATTTTAGTCACTGCGAACGCATTCTAGTCTTCTTGATGTGCGGCCCCTACTGATCCCAACCTACCTTTTCCAGCCGGAGAGAAGCGGACGATTGTTTGCGGTTTGGATCCTATGTGCCAAAGCAAAGCTGATGCGCGCGCATCTACAGTGCCCAGTGTTGCTCCACACATCACAGTCAACCTTACCACTTCGGGTTTTCGCAATAATATCAGGTTTCATGTTGAAGCAGACTGACTGGACCGGACGGGACTGGAGTGGACTAAAGCTCTTCGAAGACACGAAACAACAAATGTTCCAGATTCAGACATTGCCATACACAACAAAAGAGATTACACAATCTGGTTCCTTCACACGTGATGAGCGCCATGTTATTTCCTGGATGGGACGTCCGATTCCTGCTGTTGGGGCTGGGAGCGACTTGCAGCTTGGAACTATATTGAGCAATGGAGCAAGTTCTGCGATAAGAATGTCGACCCATTTAATGATTGCGTTTTTTTGGTCGGATGAAAACTTCAAAAAGGTATAAATAGCACGCAAGTGCAAATACAGGTTTGACTCCATTTTGACCCACCACGTTTGCCGACGCACTGTATCTTCCGACTCTGAGTCCCAAATGTGTTCAAGCAAGGGATGAATCATTTTTGAACGTTGATTATTTGGATAAAAAACACAAGTCTGACGATGCCCGAGCCCGCCTTTGGGGCCTTTGGGCCTCACAAGCCGTCCATGTTGACCCAATGCTCGGATGTTGCCCACTAACCAGATACATTCCTGACGTTGTGCTTGGCTTCATTTTGGGGCCTTATACAGGCGGCAATGAAGGCCAGGCAAGTGCAACCCGCCCCTGGTTCAACCAAGACAGGCCACATTCCCAAGCAGGAATTGCTCTCCCAGCTAAAGCTAGAGAGGCCTACAGTTGGTGCTGGTTCACGTGTGCTTCGAAATAGCGGAACGCAATGGGAGGATTTTGTTCACCATTTTCAAGTAGGCTCTGCTGTAAGCCTATGAAGATGCTACGAGAGGTTAATTTCTTCCGTTTACAAAGGGGTGCAGAGTAGAATGTGTTGAGAATTTGGATGTGCCTTGCCTGACAATCAACTCATTTCCAAGGTGCTCTGAATGTCTTGCGTCGCATGTTCAATTCGCTCATATATGTATGTGGATTTTTGTATAAATATATATACATAAAAATATATATATATATTTATATTGATATATGATCAGAAACTAAAGCATGCAGAGATGACCTTGTTGCCTGTGCAGAGTGGATCAATGTGATCACGCCGCATTTCTCTACCAAGGGTAGGAAAGGTAGGGCGGGTGTGGCCCACCGATGTGGTTGGGTAACGCCGAGATCGAGGGGTACCGATGATGTTAATAAAGAAGAAGAAGTGCGTTCTTCTGCCAGGGATTCCCTTCTTTCTGATCTTGTTGACCGATCCCTGGAAGTTGCTTTGAATTCCGGTATCGCCTTCATGTGTTTCCCTAAGATGCCTTGGGGTGAGGGATTCCTCAAAGATGTTTTGGGGTCTCCCGATGTAGGTGCTTTGCCATGGTTAAACGCCTGTGTTGATCCCTCGTGATTTGCCGCCAACGGGAAGTCCTAAGATCAGCTTCGCAAATGGAATCCATGAGAAAGTTTGGTTGCGCGCGCATGTGTTTTCGATCGAGCCACCAAGACGGTAGAAGCTTCTAGGATGCAAGCGATCGTGCGATGGCTGGATCTGATTTTGCAGTTCCCTGGCAAATCGAAGCTGGGACAAGCTTTACTGGCTGAGACTGCAAAACCCGAAGACGAAGACAGAAGGTTGCAGATAATCACAGACTGGGTTGCAAAGAAGTCCACATCGACACTGACCGTTCGAGCCAGATCAATTGCGATGTTTTTCAAGCATTGCAATTCTATTGGAGATGAACCTGCTATACCCTTTAGTGAAGAGTCTGCGCGCAACTATGTTGCCATGCTGCGTGAAACAATGAAACCTCCTACCAGAGCACACACCTTCCTGTCGTCGGTCTCTGTTTGCTGGAACTGTTCTTGGCTGGAAGGGCGCAGAGGAGGTGTCTGCCTCACAACGTGTTCAAGGAGCAGTCCATCGCTGTTTCTTGCAGAAACGGGCTTTGAGACAAGCCCCGCCATTGGACATTATTGCAATCCTTGGTTTGGAGTTGCGTAGCCTTTTTGTATTCGACCCAGGGGCAGCGCAGGCTTGTGCCTCTTTGCATTGTACGGTCAACTCAGAGTCAGCGATTGCAACAGAGTGAGGAATGGAACAGTGCTCGGCGGTTACTTCGAAGGAAACCTGTGTAGAGTGAAGAACGCGAGAACGCAGAAACAATCAATCGCGTTTCCTGCCTGTGATAATCCCGACTAGGTTTCAGCTGGTTCGACTGTCTCGCTCACTCACGACGTGAGTAGGTCTGGCAGACATCCCAGAGGGCCTGAGACGACTGAGAACAACTTCGTTTCGTTCCCTTCGCAGGCCACTGTGATGCTGGAATATGGTGAAGGGTCATGCTTCTGCATTGAATTACAGCAGAAATGCCCTTGCCAGTCCGATCCATGATGGCTATGCTGGAAAGTGTGCGAAGGGGCCTCTTTAGCCCTCTAGCCACGCGTGACAGGCATTTTGCGACTTCAGACCATGCGGTTGACGTGAGAGGCCAATTCTCCCATGGCGTGCTCCTCAGTTTGAGTGAAGCAGCCGAGATCATTGGTGGCCTGCGCGCAGCTGATGAAGATTTTCGTAAGGAGTTCCGCGACAGGATGGCATGGATGGACCTGTTGGCCCACAAGACCTTGGATGTAGCGGCTTGAGAATGCTCCGGAGACACCCACCGTCTCCGATTCAGATAGTGATGACCACATTGAAAATTCGAGTAGTGATTCTGGCAGCGCATCGGCTGAAGAGGCTATGGCGAAGGTTGAGCATGGTGTCCAGAGTCAGAGGTACGCAGATGTGAACGTCCACGCGGATATGACCAGAAATTTTCAGCATGTACGCGCGAAGATGCTTCACTGTGCCCATGTCAATGACGTGCGCAAGATGTGCTGTGGGCGTGTGATTAATGAATCCTACTCTGTATTCAAGAGTGATCCCGAGTCGGCGTGGCCGATGTGTATCCTCTGTTGGGGAAGGTAAAAGTATGCGCACGCTTCCTGCAAGAGGCAGGTGTTGTCTCATGAGCTAATGCATTCACATGTTGGCATTCCTCCTTTGTCTGTGATTAGTGCCGAATGCAGCTCATGAAACCATGTTTTCAAGTTTGCGCATGTGAGGCAGGTTCAAGGCGGGAACACGAAGTGTGTTCCATGCTGTGATGAAGTATCACTAATAGGATGTCGCGCGTTCACGCAAGAAGTTTTCTGCAGCTTTGGCGGTTCGCGCAACTTTTCCATGTTTGCGTCTTTCTTTTGGTTTCAGGTCTGCAGAATTTTTCTTTGTCTTTTCTGAAGCTTTGTCGAGCGCTCATTGGGACGCACTTTTTATGTCTCAACCTTTGTTTTTCTCTGAAGCAGCGGTGGGTCAAGATGTTGGACTCCAATGCAGTTTTCAAAGCGAGGGCTGTCGAAATCGGCCTGGGTGGCCCCACTTTGAAGAGACTTGATGAGCTCGAATGGAATGCCTATGGCAAGTTGGCTTTTGCTAGCAACTATAGACCTGGACAAACGGATGAAGGGCCTCTTATCACTCTTGCAGAGCAGGTCACTCAACAGTCACCTCCTCCTCCTCAACAGCTCCCTCTCATTCGCAGGCTCGTGTCCGAATCGTGCGCGCAAGCTGCAGCAGATCTGAAACTTCGAGCGGAAAGAAAGGAGGAAGATGCACCGCGCAAGTTAGCGCAAGCCGAACGTGCCGCTGGGGCACCACGCCCAGGTGTTACGTCTTCGTGGCTTAGAACTGAGTGGTGAAACGGACGCATCTCACTCCTTGATCGACTTGGTCTTTCAGATGAGTGAGGACAATCAACTCAAGTATGTGCGTTGGGAGCAGGCCACCAAGAGGGACCAGGAGCTGATGGGGCTGCCCCCTGACTCCAGTGGTGTGTTTCGCGAGGTGAAAAGTCCAAGAAGAGTTCAAGGCTGACATTGCGTCAGATCTCAAGCTCAAGTATGCATTGCAGCGCCGCTCATTAGCGTAGCCCGCTTGGTGGACTACGACAAGTTTGAGAGATGGTCGCAAGTTTGGCTGGAGGCGTCTACGTCTCCACCACCTGATGGCTACAAGAAAGTTTCCATTGAGCAAGTTCACCATGCCGACATGGAGCCTCATGAAGGAGCCCAGAAATGGCGTCCTGCTTTGGCAAAGGGGCTGGCAGCGCCGGAGATTCGACTTCACTTGCAGCCTTTGCAAGGGGCGTCAGGTTCGAACAAGCGTGGCGTGGATGATGATTTCGAGCCGGGCAAGAAAGCAAAGACCAGCCCTTCCCGACAAGATGATGAGGCAGATCCAGCACCTCGAAGGGCAGCTTCGGAACCTTCGTAAAGGCCAGAGCAAATCAAAAGGCAAAGGCAAGAACAAAGGTGGCAGGTTTACCAGCGCCGTCAAGATGCCGCAGGAGCTCTCGGGCCAGACTGCAACCACAAGCAGCGGTGAACCTTTGCGCTTCAGCTTCAACTGTGGGGGCTGCCAAAGCCCTTGCGCCTGTGCACTAAGTGGGGATGCGAACAACCCCACTCCCAACGTGACCATGGGAAGTGGCCCACAGCGGGTCACGAAGAGAAGAGGTGTCCGAATGCTTTGCGGGATGCCCCATCTCTGAACTTGTCACCATTGAACTTTGCGCGTGGGCAGGCAGCGCTCGCTTGACTGCCGCTTTGGCTACCAAAGGCGTCAGAGCAGTTGCTGTAGACCATGTCAAAAATCGACATAGGCAGTGTCACCCTTATATATGCATTGACCTCGCCAGTGAAAAAGGTTATCAGTTCATTGCCAATCTTCTGAGTTCTGGGGCTGTGCTTTACCTGCATGCAGCGCCACCGTGCGGCACATCTAGCAAAGCGTGGGAGCGCAAGTTGCCCAAAAGGTTGCGACGATTGGGGGCCCCAGAGCCCCCCCCCAACCATTACGCAGCTCAGCTTTTCCTCACGGTTTGCCACGCTTGAGAGTGCAAGATCGTATTCGGGTTGAGAGAGCCAATGACATTTACAAGTGCATAGCTAAGTTGCTGCGGCTTGCGATTTCCAGCGGAGCAGTGGTCACCGTGGAAATCCCACGCGAAGCTACGTGTGGGAAACTTCCTGCAATTTTTAAGTACTCAGCCGTGACTGCTTTGTTCATGAAGTGCCGTTTCAGCAACGCATGTGGGGAAGTGACTGCGATAAGGGGTCCAGTTGGTACGCTTGGCGACCGGCTTTGACGAGCTGCGCGCCACGTGTGACAAAAGTCATGCTCACAAGCCATGGGGCGTCCAGAAAACTACAACTTTTTGCTACAGATGACGAAGCTGCCTATCCCCAACATTGCAATAAGGTTGCTGACCTTGTTTTCCAGCTAGCCCTGGACAGAGGTATTCAAAATGAATGTGGCTCTTCAGCCACCTTCCAAGAAGCTGAAATCCACACCACTTGCAATGGCCTCTGCAGGCAAACACCCACGTGGCAACCGGTTTCCGCCACTAATTCCAGAGTTTTGCAACCAGTTGGACGCACTAGCCCCTCCAGGAGTGGATGTCACCATCAACCAAACGCTGACACAGCAACAATGCCATGCCCTGCAGGTGCCTTTTCCTGCCAAAGGGGGAACATCCTTTTGATGGTTCCACAAGTGTGGGCGACTGCAAACATTTTCGCTTTGCTGACACAGGGACTGGAGTTCAGGCGCAAGCAGACTGATCTTTTGTTCCAGTACTACGAGCGTAGAAAAATTAAGTTGCAGTATGAACAAGGTTTTCTGCGTTCACAGCTTGATGAAGACCGCCAGAAGATAGTTTCTGGCAAGCGCTTCCTGCTCGTCAACGAGTTGTGCCGCGATGCGGGTCTGGCTGGTGAAGAGATACGCAAGCTACAGCTCCAAGGTGTGAGCTCGACAGGAGAAGATGGAGACACGGAGCATGAGACGCATGCCTGCCCTGACCGACAAACAGCTCATGAAGTCGTCGAGATGGTCCTGTCGGATGATCTTGAAGAAGGATCTTGCAGCTGCTGACACTGAGGTCGCGGATGAAGTTTGGCGCATCACCATGGAGGAGGTTGACAAGGGCTGGCTTCAAGGTCCTTATGACGGGCCGCTTGGCCTTCACCAAAGCGACAAAGTCCGACAAATCGACAATCTGAGCGAACGTCTTGTGAATTCTGCCTTTGGATCCAGCTACAAGTTGGACCTTGATGGGGTCGACGGCGTCAGCGTTCTTGCGCGAACCTTCATGGGAGCCAGTGCCCTTGACCGAACAGTTTCCTTGACTTTGCAGGATGGCAGCCGCCAGAAAGGTGTTCTGCATAGCTCACTTTCAGTCGTACCCTGGACGTGGAGGCCGCCTATGAACAAGTCTTGGTGGCAAAGTCTTCACTTTGGTGCAATGTGCTGGCGGTGGACAGGACAGCCCGGAGGGCCAACGACGGTTGTTCATATCACAAGTTGTCCCATTTGGAGTAATTGCCAGCGTGTACGGTTTCAACAAACTGTCCAAAGTTTTGCAATTGATTGGGGCCAGGCTTTTGGCTTAATTTGGTCCAACTATTATGATGATTTCCACCAGCTCGATTTGATGGCTGGGGACGAGTGGGCGCAGGCAACTGCGGAAAGGTTGCTTCGATTGGTTGGGCGGCGTTTTTCTGAGAAGGTCAGCAAAAGGTTGCCTTTTCACAACAGTTTCTCTGCCCTGGCGGTTGTGTTTGATCTACAGACGACCGTCTCCTCAGGGCAACTAAAACAGTTACTGGCAGACATCGACAGTTTTCTACGTGATGACAAGATCTCTGAAGCCGGAGCTGCGACCTTAGGGTCGGTTGGCATGATTGCGTTGCTGGTAGTCGGAGGAAATGTCGTGGGCAGGTTCTTCTTTGCAAGCGTTGTTCCCACTGCGGTCATGGTTTTGTTGCAAGAATGCGCCAAGGAAGAAATTGCAGGACTAGAGTTGATGGCAGCTGTTCTTGCCGTCTTTGTGTTGAGCAAGCTTCACAGAGATGTCGACAATGAAGCTGCCAGGGCCAGTGATATTTCCATGTGCTCTTGCCTGAGGACGCGCGGAGCTATGTTGAAACAGCTCCGCTGAGTGGTCGCCTTTTCTTGGGCGTCGAATCCTGCCGACAGGCTGCCTAGACATGTGTACAATCGCCTTTTAGAGCAACTGTGCAGACCCGTTGAGGTTCCATGGCATGTTGTTGAAGGTTGGCTGTCTGACGCGCGCGTGAAAGTAAAATCGGGAGAGACCTGCGCACGAGCTCGCGCACTCAGGCGATGTGCCAGCTGCGAATGTACCAAGATGTTTGGTTGAGTGTGATTTCCGAGCTGTTGCAACTTCTTTCCCTCTTGACAGGAACTCACATCGGTCGACCACGTTCCAAAACAGGCCAAGCCGGCAGTGCGCACTCAGTTAACTTTAGAGAAATGCGCAAAGAAGCAACAAGATCAGAAACGGAAGCGTGCAGGGATGACCCTGTTGCCTGTGCAGAGTGGATCAATGTGATCACGCCGCATTTCTCTACCAAGGATAGGGCGGGTGGGCCCACCGATGTGGTTGGGTCTTGACAGGAACTCACATCGGTCGACCCCGTTTCAAAACAAGCGACAAAAAATATATAGGTTTATTCGTATTTTATTTGGATATATGGCGCACGCGTTGCACATCCGGTTGATCTTGGATTATGAAGGCGCATGTGAAAGCTTTGTTAGGCATGCTGCAGGGCTGTGGCAGCAATGGAGGTGACATGGCCCCTGATATAATCAAGGGAGGGGAGGACCGCTGAGCAGAGGTGCAAAGTTTCAGTCATTTTGCAGGGTTCAGAGTTTGGATTTGTGCCTTCCAGTCAAGCTTACAAGGCTGCAGCTGGCAGGTGGCAACATGTAGGATAGAAATGGGCAATGGCAAGGCCGTCCAAGCTTTGCCAGATTGATGCAGGACATCATGTCTCAAAAAGCGCATGGTACTTGTGTCGCGGCCCCCAAGCAGCCACTGCGCTGGAATGCTGATTATGAAACAGTGGGTGACTGAGGGTGTTTCGGAGTTGCTTTGTGAATCGTGCTCAGTTGGTGCATGGTTGTCTCAACAGCCAAACTTTTCATGCATTTCACGCTTTCATGGGTCCCTTCTTTTGCAATGTTGCTTTATGTTCGGCCGAAAGAAACGCCTTGCACATATGTCCAGATGTTGGTACCCCAGGTCAAAGGAATGTTTTGCATGCCTTCAATCTAAGTTTTAAGTTTGCAACCATTTCAAGATGCAACAGACCTTAGACATCATGCTGGAATCAAAGGATTAAGGCCCCCCAGGAAGCTTGAATGGCTTAAACTGAAGCAGCTGAGGCAGACAGAATTAGCTGTTTCAACCGGCACTATGCAGAGTTCGCAGGCTCTTGGGAAAGTACCGGCCTACCAGCAGACATTGCCAGTGCCAGCCTTGCAATACATAGCTGGCAGCTTGAGACACATGTTTTGAGTTTTTGGCTGAACAACCAAATCGTGAAGTAAGGTCAGGAGCCTGGATCGGCTATCACTTTCTATGACGTTGTGACTGGCACCTTGGACGGGTTGCTGCCCTCCTAGAAAGCATCTGTGTTTTCCACTTGTCAGGTGAGGGTTGTTACATTTTGTGTCTCGCTGGTCCTCCTCCTTCTCATCCTCCTCGTCATCTTCCTCAACCTCTAGCGCTAGATCTCCGTGGGCATCGCCGGGCCTCAACCGTGAGTGGTAGACACAGTGGGCGCCGCTGGACCTCAGCCGTGGGCACTACAGGGCCTGAACCACGAGCGCCAGATCGGGGTGGGCACCACCGTGCCTGAGCCAGATAGAAAGAATGTCAGCAGTTATTGCCAGACGCCCGATAGATTGCCAGAATATGGGCCAGATACGCCAGAACTTGTGCCAAAGATAATTTCAGATTGAAAGCGAACAAAACAATATGCCAACGCAAGAATGTATGCCGGATAGAGTGCCAGAATATGTGCCAGATAGAATGCAGGAGTATATGCCAGAATGTATGCCAGATAGAACGCCAGAATATTTTCCAGATAGAATGCCGGAGTAGGTATGCCAGATAGAGTATCAGCCAACATAGTTGCCAAACAGAACGCTAGAATACTGTATATGCCGGATAGAAGCCACAAAAGGTACCAAATTGAATGCCAGACTACATTCCAGATAGAATGCCAGAAAGCGTGCCAAATGGAATGCCACATCAAATGCCAGAATTTGTTCGAGATAGAATGCCAGAGTATATGCAAGTGTCGACGCAAGACAAACATGTCTTTGGTGATGTTGAAGCAATACCGGTGCCGGTTACTAGCAGAGTATAATGCCATAGTTGCAATGCAAACTCAGACCGACTTGTTTGGTTGAAATTTAGATGTCAACTTCTCGTGGCAGTGTGTGGCAAACCAGCTTAGCAATCCCAACTTGGCAGTGCAATGTGTGAGGCAGTTTTCCAGAATTCACTATCATAGAAGTGGAACTTTCATTTTAGTTTGTGGCGCCTACCCTTGTCTTCAGGAGTGTGATTTTGGCAGTGTTCTGTTTCCTGTGGCGTGCATAGGTAAGCCGCTCTTTGTGGCTCCGAAGGGAAGAAGCTGGGAAGACTTCAACCAGGAGACATCAACATTGTAAACATGTTTTGCCTTTGTGCGTTGACAAAGTTTTTGACCTTGAATTGCCCTGCAAATTTGCTTAGCTCTTGGATTAAACTTGCCGGCGGTTTGCCCGGGCGCTGTTTGAAACCCTCTTTATACAGCCTACAGAAATTGCAATGGAGATAGGGGAGATAGGCTAGAGAATACCAAGCTGGAAACAAACCAGTCCACTTTCTAGAAAGCATCTTTCAAATGCTGTGCTCGTTGGCCTGCTCATCCCATTCATGCCCATCTCTTCTTCAACCGCCCTGCGCGCCGGCAAGGTTTCGAGTAAACTCAAGCTGTCTTGTTTGTACCGGCGTGTAGCTACATGTTACATGTCCAGTCGAATCGCCCAAAGACGGTTTGAATGGTATGGGCGCCCAGGGTGAGTTTGTCAGGGGCGGTGGATATAGCTGCGCAATAAACTTTTCGCAGTGTGTCCGAAATAAGGAACTTGGAAGTTGGCGCAAGCGAAATTCCATTTGGGCATTGTTGGAAAGGGGTCGTGTTCTCACAAAGAACTTGCGGGTTCCTGGTTAGGAAATGCTCATTTTACTCAGCAGAGTGCAGAGGAGTTGCAATGTTAAGCAAAGATATATCAAGGGGCCTGCAGTTGTATTGAGACGCATGTTTTAGGGGTGTTGGGGTTTATGGTTGGAGGCTTGTTTGTGTTTACAGTTTTGAGGCTTTGGTGTCTCCTCCTCCTCCTCATCATCATCATCACCATCATCTTTTCTTTCGTGCGCTCATCGAGGTCGATGATGGCGTGGACCTTATAGTCCGCCTAGCGCCCCGGAGGGCCTTCGCAGCTCATCAGCTAAACGGTGCGGTCGAGCAAGCGGGCCAATGTCGTTGCCTTCGCTTGCGTGGGCTGAAACGACCGCAACGCAAGATGCAAAACCGCAAACTGCCTAAGGCAGGGACAGCAAGTCCTCATTCATGCCAATGGCGTGAAAAGGTTGGCAGGCGCGCCAACGGGTGGGGTGCGCCTTTGAAATGAAGCTCGCAGCACATTGATCAGCTAGCTTGCTCGATCTTGCCCACCAGGAGCGGTGTGCCACTGCCATGTGAGCGTCAAGGTCCAAGCCACTGAGCGTGCCAGTTGTCGTTGATCGAAGGATCGTGGATGGTGTTGTTCACCTTATCCTGGCCCGATCTCTTCAGCTCCCCCATGAGGTAGGCAGTTCAGCAAGAGAAGAAGCAGTTCTCTCGGGCCACCAGTGGAACAGCACCGACTCCATGTCATCAGCATAGACCCACCAGTTGCCACCCGCCAGGATGGCCGTCCAGTAGTGCCCGCTGCCAGCTTTCGAGCCAAGGTGGTGAGAGAGCCTTTGACCTGGTAGGGGATGTTGTCCAGCTCCAGCTTGTCGTTCACAAAGAAAGGAAGCCAGACCTTGGTTTCCCAGGTGAGGCGACCAATGTGGATGCATGTAGCATCTAGCGGGCAAACCAAACGAGGCCATGCTCCAGGTTGAGATCATGCCCTGCAAGTCATTGTGTTGCGGACTTTTGTTTCCGCAGATGTAGAGTGTCAAGGGGCACCGGGCACCTTGGTCCACGACCTTGTAAAAACTTCCTTCCGCCAGCCGAGATTCCCAAGAGCAGCTATGAAAAAGAGGATGGAGCTGTTGAAGTATATGATGAGCAAAATCAGTCACCTCAGGTTGTTGAAAGGGTTCTGGCCAGTTGGCGTAAAAACAATGATTGCCTTTGCGACACATCTGCAGGTTCCCCAGACGCCCCAGATAGGTTGGACCATCAGTCCATCAGCGTGCGCCGCACTTCAGACCAGCCTAGTGACCACAGAGTTCAGGGTTCTGAAAGGTCCTCAATGGTGGTCATTGATCATCAAGAGTCCATCCAGAAGTTTCCCAGGTGCTGTGCCAATGGAGTCTTTGTGAGGTTGCTGGCTTGTTTGAGCGCATGAATATAGGATTTCTTCTTGGGAATTGCGTGTCTTCCAGGCGTTGAAATAAGGGTCCGTGGCCACTAGGCTTGCAAACCCAGAACCCTCGGGCCTCCAGGGTGGTGCGTCGGGGTTGAGGGTGCTCACGTGGATGTAGACCAAAAGCCGTCCAAAGAAGAGGAGCGCCTGAAGTTGTATTTCCACCCCAGTTAGCTCTGAGCCCGGTGCTAAGACCTTGAGAACGCCAGCTTGGTCTCAAGGAACCCTGCGTGCAAGATGAAGAACCGTTCTGGCAGTCCGTGATCAGAATCAAGAGACAAAAGATGATCGCAACAGCAAAGATGATCAGAATCAAGTAGACCAGGATCTGGTAGTCGAAGCTGGCGTCCAAATAGAGATCCCCCGTAGTGTCCTGCAAGTTGGTGGGAGAAGGCCCGGTACGTCCCAAGACCATCCGCGAGGGAGAGCCGCACTAGCCCCCGGCACCGCGGGGCAAGGTGGGGCCAGAGAGCTAATGGCCCTCATCCTCATCATCATCATCATCATCATCATCATGATCATCATCGCCATCGCCATCGCCATCATCATCGTCATCAAGGATCATCGTCCATCCTGATGCGTCGTCGCGCATCTTCAAGAAACATTGAACAAATGCAGATATTGCTGGATCAAAAAAGGTTCAAGAAGCTTCTAAGTTACAGACACCCCACCAAACGGTAAGTCCACCTGGAACTCAAGTCCCTGTGTGCGAGGCAGGCCTTGAAGAGTATGGAAGGAATGAACTCGACAAACCTGACAAACCCCCAAAACATCGTCTTGCTGGGTCATATGCACCGTCAGCCCATCTCGCAGACAGAGTTTGTTTCCTTGTGTGATTTGCGCGTTATTTTCCCAAGCTTTTTGGCATTCCTTCAATGATGTTGAACTCACACCGGTCTCTTGACCAAACTGGAGGAATCTCAAAGCCATGGCTGGCCCTCTTTCCGTGACGAGGAATCGCTCCAAAGCAACATGAAAGGCGTATGTTTGTGGTTTTGAAGGAGCAAAGACATGATGAATCTAGGGCCTTCCATGATTGTTTCTTGTTGTTACTGTTATATTATGGTTTGTGAGGGATCTCTCTCTCGATCCCCTCCAACTAATATGCAGCCAAATCGACCAAACCGAATTCAACACCTTCTTTTTAGCGCTTCTGCCTTGGAAGGAAGTGATAACTGACTACGTTCGAGTTCTCCCAGACGGAGAGGCTGTGAGTGTCGATGGCACTCACCTTGGCCACAACCTTCCCGACAATAAAGGAAACCGCTACTTGGTGTGCAACAACCATGTGACTGTGAGGTGAACAGCAGCTCATAATTTTCAATTCAAACAACCCGTCAAGGGCTCGGAGTTTTGTTGATGCGTTCTCAATAAGTTTACAGCCTTGAGAGCGTTGAAAAGGGCACAATGTGCCATAGCACAAACCCTAAAACTTACGTTGTGCGGTTGGATCGCCCAGACATAGAAGATGTCGCTTTTGAAGCCCAGTGAATGAGGTGTTTTGTTGATTGGCAGTCAAGCTGCAACAGCTTCCAAATTAATTGTTTGCCGTATTCTTTTTGTTTTTCTATTCAGGTCGCTTCGCGACAACAACCGGCAGCACCAGTGGCTCTTAGAGAGAGGTGAAAGAAGTATCGAAAATCACGCTGTTTTTTTGTGGAGCCTTTTATAAATTGTTTAGTTACATCTCACTTGTATTTTGCGACATTGTTGGATCTATTTTCGGACACCATTTTCAAGGAGGTCGAAAAATTGAGTGATTATGTACAATAAATTTGACAATGTGCATGATCGAGACAAGACATAAATTAATCCCTCCATTTTTGGACATCCTTGCAAATTGTTTGGTTATGTCTTGCTTGCAACTTGGAAGAAGCGTTGGATGTATTTTCCGACCTCCTTGAAGTTGTACCTTTTTCAGGGTTCAGATTATATCTAACAGGGCTTGCAAATGGATATAACTTCAACAGCTTCAAAAGTGTACAATTCAATGGGATCGAAATATAGAGTGAATATATACAATGAAGTATACAAAGTGCATGATCGACGCAAAACCTAGAGATGAACGCAGCATGAAGTGGATGAAAAGTATTTAGGACAGTGTCTATAGTCTATAATGGTCCTATTTTGGACCTGCCCTGATTTCTTAGGCTTTCACTGTTACTGAGGCTTCGGTTTAGGGCTTGGTGCGTTGGCATTTTGTACCATTTGGTGTCCCGAGTGTGTGTGGAGTCACAAGTTTGATTTTTTGAGAGGCTGTAACCCCTACTGTTTCAACGGGACACTCTTGAGTTTGCTTCGCGTGAATCAAGTTGGCGTTTGACAGCTCGAGCTCGAGCAAAGTTGCCACTGGATCTGACAACAAACCCAGTCAAACCAAACAAAATTGGAGAAGACGGTCACTGAACGGCCCCCCACACACAAACTTAGTCATAGGGTTTGCAGTTAACTCAGTTCCACGTCAAAAAGATGAGGGAACGGAACGGCGCAAGATCAGCTCAACCGAAATGTTTAACAATGTTGACTCGTGACTGCGGAAGGCTGCGGTGGCTCAGCTGCAAACGCGGCAGGGAAAAGGTTTACGGGGAGTATCATGAAAAGATCATGAATCAAAACGAGGAGAGTGGCATCGCAGCGTGTGGAAAAGTTCAGCAGGTACACATTCAGGCGTCCCTGAATGCTTCCACCAGTCTTCCGTAGCTTCGTTGGGCACTGTAGGAAGACTGGCCGTTGCCCCCTGCTTATGACATTGTGGATGGTGGGAATCAAAGCTCCTAGAGACGGAGGGTGACGCACGCACACACACACACGCACACACACACACGTAGCCGCTTAGCGGCGCTCCGAAAGATGACAGCTGTCTTTTTTGCAGTCTGATGCTGCGTGTCCTTTTTGGACATAGAGGTGAACAAGCTGTTCAGCTGCTGCGTCTGCCGCTGTTATTGGAAAGGTATAAGCGTAAATGGTGTGTAGTCGTGATGCAAGGCCGGAGAGTGTGAGGCGTTTGCTACCGGCACTGCTGGCGCCCCGGATTTTCCAGGATTGTGTGGGTTGGATGTAAGTGATTGCGCGTTGGGTGAGATCTATGTTGAACCCCAGGACGTGGTAATCTTCAACGGTCTCAATGTTCCACGGGGTCGCCAAAGAAGTCGTGGTGAACGAGGGTCTGAACAGCTAGCTGGGTGTGAGAGGAAGTGCTCGTTGTGGGTGATGAAACGATTGTCGACGTAGCGGTAGTAGTTGAAATGGAAATTGGTGTTGTGCAAGAAGTTGTTGTGGAGTTGTTGCCAGGAGTGTTCAATAAGGGTGGTAGCCGCATTGCATAGGGCAGGTGACAGCTGGGAGCCAATCCCGGCGCCACGTAAGTGTTGCATGCCCGGAAAATACATGTGTTGAGCGCAAAGGTCACAATGGTTGCGATGTCCGGCAGTGTGGAGGGTGCATTGTGTAGGACGCCTGTAGTGATGGCGTCCAATGTGAGAATGATGATACGGATTGCCTGTAGCGTGGGTGTCAATGGTGATGGTGTGGGTTGATTGCTGTTGCTGCCAGTGTTGGACTAAGCTGTGGACCGCGTCGATGAGGCGGTGTTGGGGGACGGATCTGAAGAAGCCAACAAGGTCATCGTTGGTTGCGTGGAGGGTGATGTCAGTAGGGACTTGGGTTAGATAGGTGTGGAAATGTTGCCATAACTGAGGGATGGAGAGTTGGCCAGGATGTTGTGGGTAAAGGTGTTGGAGAATGATGTCCAGTGCTCTGCTAGTGATGCGGAGAAGGTTGCCTGCGAGGGAGTGGTAGTAGGAGATGATGGTTCTGCCTTTATGCCACTGTTTTTTCTCTTTCAGGTGGACAAGGCCGTACGGGATGGTGAATTCCTTGCAGAATCCCCATTTGTAGCGGGCGCGGAGGCCACGACCGCCGGAGCAGTGGTTGGGGGTTGGGTCGTGGGGATCCCATGTGAGAGTAGTAGGTTGTGGGGCGGCAGCTGTGTGGTGAGCGGCGGGGGTGGAGGTGGCTGAAGGTAGGTGCTGCCATGGGGAAACAGTAGGGCGCCGGAAAGCTGGGCGCTGGTGCATGTTGCAGTGGCGGTGCCGGATGTGTGGTGGGCGGATGTATAGTGGGATGAGGAGGCCACTTAGCGTGTGACAGCCTTGGGACCGAATGGCGCGGCGTGGGTTGGGGTGGAAAAGGTTGTGATGTCGTCAGTGGTGGTGGCTGTGGAGCATAGGGGTATGGCCAAGGAAAATGCATGCTGCTCAATGCAATCAACGCGCTGTTGTCGGCAGCTGCAGGCGGCGACCGCAGCAGGGCGGGGCGGCAGCAGAAGAAAAGAACGTGAAATCAATCCAGGAGTGAAAATGTATTCACTGAATCAATTTCTGGAAAATTGATTCGGTTGAATTAGAATGCGTCGGCGTACGTGGATCGGATGAAACCTAGAAAGATGCGGAAAACCACACTTGAACCTTGAAAGCACTGCTGAAAACAAATGATCCGTGAGCCCGGTGGCGTCAAAACTCCGTAGCTCGGCAGCATTGGGGTCAGAAGATTCATGGGTGAAACGATTCAATCCAAGATCATATTCCAGAGCTCAAAAACGCAAAGTCAGTATGTGATTCCCAATGATCTCAGCGCTCCCTTGCGGGAGATCACACACTGCACCCAGTGGGACGACAGAGCGGCGCACACTTAGTCATAGGGTTTGCAGTTAACTCAGTTCCACGTCAAAAAGATGAGGGAACGGAATGGCGCAAGATCAGCTCAACCGAAATGTTTAACAATGTTGACTCGTGACTGCGGAAGGCTGCGGTGGCTCAGCTGCAAACGCGGCAGGAAAAAGGTTTATGGGGAGTATCATGAAAAGATCATGAATCAAAACGAGGAGAGTGGTGTCACAGCGTGTGGAAAAGTTCAGCAGGTACACATTCAGGCGTCCCTGAATGCTTCCACCAGTCTTCCGTAGCTTCGTTGGGCAACGTAGGAAGACTGGCCGTTGCCTCCTGCTTATGACATTGTGGATGGTGGGACACACACACAAGAACTGTAGGCTAGAGGACAAAGATTGAAATGTTTCGTTTTTAACTCCATGTGAACTAAACCCAAGGTTCCATGAGCCTCGGTTACTGTTGCTGCTGCTGCTGCGTCGTGTAGCACTTTAGGCTACTGCATCAACCTCGTCTCGGTGGCGGCTATGCCTCCTGAGTGAGTTTCAGTGCAAAGGTAAAGGATTGTAGTCTCTTGATATTCGTGTTGCTAGCTTTTTGGATCTGTGGGGTTCAGAACCGGTAGTTGTGGAAGTAGCAACACCGCACAAACACGAGGGTCTGGAAAGCTGTTGACATGGTTGACACTCCAATTTCTAACTCAGTGCCATCCGCATTCCCAAAGGGAGTGCGAATCATTCCTGTTCGGAACTTGACAAGAAAGTGGCAAGATGAGGCTCAACTAAGATTCGCTGCCACAGCTTGACAGTTGTCAGGTTTTTGTACATGAGACATGAAAACACAAAGTTGAGGCCTTCCTGAGCCACTGTCAAGCCAACTGTTTTCGCGCTTCCTCTGAGTGGGTCGGAGAAGCTGCCCTTCAAATGGCCAGCAGCAATCAAGCCTGCGCCTTTAAATCTTGCCGAAGTGTAAAGACGGCAAAAACATTTTACAGTGGGGCTCATTGTGGGAAACCCAAAGGAGCACAAAATCGAGGGAGGATCAAATGCATATTGCTGCAGTCATGTCCCTGCATGCAGTGTGTTTCGCTTGGATCAGGCCAAAGAGCGGAGGCAGGACCTATTGCCAAGAGCGCGCAATAGCACGCAAACAAGACGGTGCTTATAGGCCACAAATATGAGCAGCGTATAATGTTGCTTTGCTGTGCACCATCATTTTTGTTGTTTGTCAACTTTCCTGAACATGGTTGACGCAAATTTTTCAATATTTCAACAATGTGTGCCAGGAAAGCACGATGTCCTCCATGCAAGCAAGGACGACACTGAGAGAGAATAGAGTAGGTTTCCATTTCATGCAATCGAATCACGGCACCTCAATTGCGAGAACCTCGGCAGCTTTTGCCTTCTTGTTCTTCCAAAGAAGAGCTGCGGGGGGCTGTCATTTTTTGCATAGAAACATTTTTTTGTCACAACATCATATGAACATGTTTGAATGTGATCCCCATTAGGTTGCGACCACGACATGATTCCTTTCTTGTCTCGATTAGCGCCACGACTCGACATTTTTTCCGTGTTTGTCTCCACTTTTGGTTCCCTCGTTTGTCTCCATATTAGGTACTGGATTAACGTTGCAGCAATAT